AGCATTTCGGTAGGTTCGCTTTCCAAGTTCTCCTCTTCGCTTTGTTTATTAGAGGGAGAGTTGTGTGTCTCTTCGGGCCCTTCTGTTTCCATCAAATTGTTAGGGGAGGCGACCTCATCTTGACCTGTTTCAATTTCCCCTTGTGGTGATTCCTGTTCAACTTCGCGATTTGGGTTGTCCAAATCCATTTCAGAACGGAAATCATCGTCAACACCGTCATCTTCCGGATCATTAGAGTGTCCCCCATCGTCTATTTCCATGTCATCCGGAAGATCCAAAGTTTCAGCTTGTGGAACTTCAGTATCGAATTGAGTTTCCTGCTCATTATATTCTTCTTCCAATTGATCTTCTGCAAATTTTTCTAATTCATTTTCTTCCATGTCGCGGTCACTATTCTGTTCAGGCATTTGTGGTTCCTGTGCGTTACCTTCCGAGCGTTCTTTGGAGTCCTCTTTAGCAACGATATCCGAATCCTGTTGAGGGCTCTGATGTTTGTTCGAATCCGCGGTCTTTCCCGAATCTTCTATATCATCCGGGTTCTCTCCCCACATTTTCTCGTCAACCACTTCAGGATCATTATTATCGAGCTGGCCAACCTGTTCCTCCAGGTCTGATTTCGTTTCTTCATCTTCTGTTTGATCTTCCTCATCTATGGATTGTTCGACATCCTCCAAAATGCCATCGAAATCATTTTCCATTTCAATTCCATCTTTCTTATCTACGTCAGTTTCACCGGATGATTTGAATTCAGCTTCATTTTGAGTTCCCAACACCTGTTCCTCGTCTTCAATTTCATTGCTCACATCCTTGGATCCCTCTCCCTCTCCTATGCCCGTTCCCTGAAGATTCTCGTCAATTTCTCCACTTTCAGTGTCCTCCACCGTACTCGTCTCTGGCGTACAAAAACCTTTTGTGAAGATGGTGGCAAATGAATTACAAAGTACCAGACCTAGTTTGCACAGTGATTTCTGGTGAAATAAGAATGATGTCAGATAATATAGGACAACATTATTATATTGGTCCATGAACGGGAATACTCTTTGTAATAAACAAGCAATCCAACTTCGACATTCATCGTTGCCGAGCTGCTCATTATCCATAAATTGATACAACTGAGAGTGAATCTGACCAAACTGTTCGACAACTGCTTTCAAATTAAGCTTATTGATGACATCCGAAATCAAATTGTGTTCATCGCGTATATAATTATCACTCATTTGGTCGCGGTCTGCATCCTCTTTCTCCGCGATGTCTCTGGTTTTTTGTGCGACAGGTTTCATCAAGTTTTGAGCAGTGATCAGAATGCAATCAAGTAAATCGCTGATTTTCCGTGTGAATTGTTCCAAGATCAATTTTCCGTGATCGTCAAAGTTCACCATACTGCAGTCGACTTCAGAAAAATTGAGAATTTCGGTTCTAGAATTTATGTAATCGCACACTGGCGAGAATATGTG